AGGACCTCCCACAATCGTATTGGTACTTGTTTAGGCCGCTATATTACACCGAGACCGTAGATTGGAGACCTTCTGTTCATGGCAGACTTTTTGGTTTGGGGCTCGGAGCAGGGAGTTTCAGAAACCAATCAACATCAAAACCGGTCGCAAACCGTCGAGAGTTCAGGGTTTACCTGTGATGAGGCTTCACAAGAGCTAACAAAGCAATTAAAGTACGACCTTCCTAAACCCTAAACCCTAAACCCTAAACGGTTCGTGTCGATATCGGTTGATAAGAGCACGGCTTTCAAGTTGAGGCGCTGAGGTCTGGACAGAAAGCTCGCACTTCCACCAAACAGGTAGTTTTCTAATAGGGTTCAGGGTTTAGGGTTTAGGGTTTAGGCTTTAGGGTTTAGTTTTTTCAATTTTTCTATAATAGTGCCGTACTACATTGGGGACCCAACAAGGGATCCTAATTTAGAGAACTACCCAAACCCTAAACCCTGATCCCGAAACCCAGAATCCCACCTAGACCCCAAAGAACCTGTCTTGTTTATGACTTTTATGTAAGGAAAGCATAAGAAGGAGCCCTAAAACGGTAGGTTCTTTGGAGTCCAGGTACACCCTAAACCTCAGTCTTAAACTTCTGAACTGTAAACCTTCCTCCCAAGCCCTAAACCCTAAACCCCAAGCCCTACCTACTTGGAGGATCATGGGACTTAGTAAGTAAGGTTATAAGTCCCCTAATTGGGATTATAAGTATAGTTACCCTAATTATAACTCTACTTACTAAGTCCCATGATCCTTTAAGTAGACCCTCCAACTACCCTTTAATAGACCCTAAATACCCACTATTAAGGGCCATAAGGGCTCCATGAAAGGGCCCTGGCAAGGTCCTGGTACACCCAAGCCTTGAAACCCTGAAAGCCCTCGAGCCCCAGCCATGAAACCTCACTAAGCTCTAGACCGAATACACCCTAACTTAGAGGTTTAGGGTTTAGGCAGTACACCCTAAACCCTAAACCACCCTAACTTAGGGTTTAGGGTTTAGGGAATACACCCTAAACCCTAAACCCAAATCCTGATCTTGTCAAATTAGTCTCAAGCATCCCTAAAGCCCGACATAAACCCCAAACCATACAGACCTACATGGGTAGTTCTCTACATGAGTGTCCGTTTTAGGACACTCTGAATAAGGGTGCCGCACTATTCGGGGAGACCTGAAGAGGGACCCTAGTTCAAAGAACAACCCATCAACCAAAAACTCTAAACCCTAAACCCCTAAACCCTAAGTATAAACCCCAAACCTTGGACCTGAAGAGGGACCCTAGTTCAAAGAACAACCCATAAACCCAAAACTCTAAACCCTAAACCCTAAGTATAGACCCCAAACCTTAACCCCCCCCCCCACCCCCGGCCTGGATCTGCCTCGAGTCGTGAGGAGAAATGACCAACTCTTGCGGCATAACCTGAGGACCGGGGTATTGTGGTATTTTAATGTTTTCAAAGTTGATTATAGAACATGTCAGTCGCATATAGTATTTCGAGTATGTTTATGGCATATGATAGCAAACTATAGTAAGTTTTCGTATGCATTAGCACATAAAAATATATTAGAATCCATTATCGGGGTTGATCTTCTTGTTGGCTTCCGGTGTTTAGGGTTTAGGTGTTTTAGACTTTGGAGCATTTGGAATATCAGGGCATGTAAGGTTAACGCTGTCAGCAATAGGGCCTTAGTCTCAGAGCGGTTCGGTATCAGAGTGTGGGCGTCTCGGGGATGGGCGGATTTATGTTCCAATGTTGAGATGTCTATAGTTGCGGATATGAGTGTTCCATCAGGAAGCCTTAAATCTGTACTGTGTGGGCCTCAAATACGGTGTATATTGTAGGAAAAATTGTATTATTATTATAGTGGAATGTACATTTTCTACACCCCCTTCCTGGCTATGGTTTGGGATGCCAAAACGGCATGGCTCCTCCGGTCTGGGGCTTAAGGCTTTAGCCCGAACCCACAACCCTAAGCCCCAAAACCCCAAACCACGGCCTGACACACAACCACAATGGGGTACTGATTAATTCGAAATATCGCTGGGGGGGGCGGGGGGGTACAATACGGTATACGCATACTGCATACTGATTACATCAATCCCCAGAAACTAAAGACATCTTGATCCCCACAAACCTGGCTTCTTTACGAAAAAAAAAGGAGATTATAATGGGGAAGGCTAAACATGCAGACGTTTTAAGGCTTGAAGTAGAACCGAAACCCTGATCCCACGAGGACTGCACCTCGAACGCATCGCTTGATCCAGCCTGGGTGGGCCGGTGCAAACTTCTAAGTTCACGAGTTGCGGCAGCTGTGTCGATTGCAGATGGTGGAGTTGTAGCTACTTCTGAATGAGGAAGGCCGCCGTATATGCAACGCGGCCTGAAACATTAGATCAGGGTTTAGGGTACGTGATGGTACAGTAAACCACCAAAACAGTTGGAAGCCGGATCAAGAACAATCAGTGCCGGGACTCCCTGTGCATTACTCTTCAGGATTGAGGCTATTGGGTTTCCAACTATTTGGCTTCTACTAATGTACGGGCCCTAATAATTAGAATAGGGTTGTAGGGTATACTATACTACCATAGGAAATTATTGAAGCCCCCATCTTATACTTGCAATATGGAGCCCGAGGGTCCTAAGAAATCGTAGTGCCCTCTCTTTCTGGCTGCTAGAGTTCAGGGCTTCGGGATGCTAGGCTTCAATGGTTGTCAGCTTGGGGTTCTGTGGTGCTGCTAGCGGACACATCATGCATTGATGTAGGGGCCTGAAAAATTAGAATATGGTTTTGGGGCCCATTGTACTATACTTCAATCAAGGAAACCCCTAAATAGTATAGGTACCTGTTTAGGGCCCTACATTATGTGAGTTCCCTATTTGAAGATTCATGGGTAGCCATCAATCAAGTTAAACAGGCCCCTAACGTGGCTATGGCTAAAGCTGCCCGACTCATAACCCCCACTTATCGCCAGTTCATCGACATCACGGAATATCACTGTTTCTCACAGTGCATTCGCCTTCCCCAACTTAGGAATCTGACTGAGATGCCCCTCGTTCTGAACCAACATGGTGCGCGGATCCTTTTACATATACATCCCCGGGTTTGTTTGCACTGCCCGGGGATTCTCGTAGAGACCCCTAAACCTTAAGCCCGAAAGACCATAAAATGGGTGTACGAGGGTGGAAGACTGGCTTTGCCGCCAAATGCTGCAAATATGCACCAGGGCCCGATTTAGCATAACTCGGGTTCCACATATTGTGTTCATCAGATCCTCATGTTTATGTGGTCTGTTGCTCTTTGCCTTTTGTGTTCTTGTGCCGGTTTGGCATTGGGCCACAAATATGGGCTGAAGCTGAACCTCCATTGATGGAGCTTCGAGGGCGTTTTGTGCAGACCGAAATCAAAACCCGATGTTGTCATGATTACTAGAATCCTGAAAGCCGTACTTTATGGAAACTAAATGATCCTTGACGGAAAGCCTTAGCAGAACCCTCATTGCTCTGAGATCCCGGGCGATAGACTCGCCCCCTTCGCGCGGCTTGATCTGCAATTGCACCTGCACGCATGAGGGCTTCGCTACCCTAAGCCCTAAACCCAAAAGGTTAGGGTTTCGGGTTTGGGGGTTTCGGTTAGAGGGTTTAGGGTGCAGGGTTAGGGTTTAGGATTAGGTGCAGACGTCCACTACGGACTGCTCTAAGGCTTGCAGTCAGGGTTTCTATGAAGGTGTTGGTAGGGACCCTAAACCCTAAACCCTAAACCCTAAACCCTAAACCCTAACTCTAAACCTGGAATTTAGGGTTTGGCTTCTGTAGGAGTCTGGGCTTGCGGGCCAGGTTTTGGGCGTAGCATTTGGGAGTTTCCGAAAATAGGGGACCCTAATATAGTACCCTAAATAGTAGGACCCCTATTATAAGGACCCCAAAATAAGGTACCCTAATTTTTGAAACTCCCATTTGGAACTTTTTTTGAAAAGCAGAAAGGAAGGCGTTTTGGGGTCAGGATCCACGACAGGGGTCAGAAATGTTAGTACTTGTAGTCCCCGGAAATTACGTACATACCAAAAACTATCCCCAAGAATCCATATTCCAATTACGAAGGCGCTTCTATTCGATTCTATTCAGATCAGGCCAAGGATTCCGGATGAATCGTACATCGAAGCTGCTGGCCTCAGTCACCTCGTGCTTTTGGTCGAGGAATTTGGGTATAAAGCAAAGACTGTCTAGGGTTTGGGTTCGAGAGGTTGTGGGTTCAGGGTGGTTTAGAGTTTGGGGCTGTGGGTTTGGGAGTTTGCTTAGGGTGTGAAGGTTTGGGTTTAGGGTTTCAGGGGAGAGCCCTGAAAGAACAAACGGTATTTCCATGAACGACACCTGTATAAACTTACCCGGGCAGAAAGGGCGAGCGCCGGGCACTCCTAGCTATATGCCATAAACTCCGTTGCACTGTGGCTGTGACGTGTGTTTGATGGTTGGCTTCGAGGCCGTCGGCAATGCTGTAATCATAGACGGTACCCAAAATAAACAACATGGTGATGGCAATAGTGATGGTGAGGGTAGATGATGGTGATGCGACGGTGCATGAGTGTTGTACTGCTCATCGCAAGTCCCTTGGTCGCAGATGCCGCATGATAGTCCTAATACCGCCGATATACACCATGTCATTTGGCACAAAGCATGTGTCGCAGAATGGATATTCAGCCTGTGGAGATTCGTAGGCTGTACAGTACAGAAGACATAGTTGGGTTTAAATCCCTGCCAGTTGCAGGCACGTATCCTGTTCAGCCAGCCACCCCTCCGGGGATAGCCGACTGCGCAGGATTCTCACTATACAAAGAATCGTTGTGAATCCATCACCTTATTTGTCCAGCTTCTCAGAACAAAGGTTGATCTTTGGTACTACAAGGCCTTTCGCATGATTGTCGTGCTACATAACCCTAAACGCAAATTTCAAGGGTACTGGCCGTGATTCCGAGTCACTTCTTGGCCGGGTTCTGGGTGGTTGTGTTCTTGAAGCCCTCGACCCAGTTGATAGCCCAGAAGTCGTGGGCAAGTGCGGGGTGGCAAATGTACTCGTACGGCATGTAGAAGTAGCCCTTGTCGCCCCACCTGCGAGTAACAAACTACCAAGAACAGCTCCACAACAACAAGATATGCACCGAAATGGTGAACTATGCTGGTCCAAGACGCCCTTCTCCCCAAGAGTTGCGGACGATGAAGCATTGCTTGAAGTCGTCGTAGCCCACGGCAGTGACGGCATGGCCTCCTAGCTGTTGGTCGGTCGCCTGGGGCATCACCATCTTGCCGGTCCTGGCAACCTCCGCTGTCTGGAAGCTCGTCAGGACGGCAAAGCCGAAGACAAATGGGTAGCCGTTCTTGATGCACATCTTGAACTGGCTCAGGTCCTGGGCCACACGGGCATAGCCGACGACCTTGCACTTTTGTGCGAGCTCGTAAGCCTTGTCACTGGGCTGCTGCTTGAAGAAGTCATGCTGGTCGTCATACTTCCACACGCTCTCCGGGCAGACGCCGACCTTGGGCTGGAAGCCAATTGGGCTAAACATAGCACCCTATACTCCAGAATACCACAGTATACTATTCAATACTATGATGTACTACAAAGAACTAGTGAAATTATACCAGGAGTGTACTGTCCCTTCCAAGGAAGGTTACCCTCATCCCCCTACTAGTGGCACAATTGCCAAAAACCCTGTTTTGGCTTCCCTGGAGACCTTGGACATCGTCTTGATGCCGTCCCGGATCATCGCCCCAGCATCCTGGTTCACGCTGCCCTCCACAAGACGCTCGTTGTAATAGATGAACAGCCGGCTTGGGGTGAAGTCGGCGAAGTCCTTGTGGTTCTCCACCGTCATCTTGTGGAGGGTGAAGTGGAAGGCTGCTGCCAAAGCGTTCGCTGTGCAGCTGCCGAGATGCCCCTGACTCATACTGATAGAAGCATCCTACAAGATGCCTCAAAACCGTACTCTCATTTGGTTGTACCTCTACCGTAAACCCTACACCCTGTTCTAAGTATGCAAGCTCCTATGCTACGGCCTGATCGAAGATGGGGAAGCCACCGTTCTGGGGCCGCAGGTCAATGAGCTCTTTCGCTCCTGGATGCCATCCGAAGACATGAATCGTTATCGTCATAAGCATCTATATATATATATATACTACGGTTATGCTTATTGAAACTTATCATACTAGATGTAGCAATGTACTTTAAACATGTGTTCTATGTGTGTTTATGAAAGAACTACTATAATGCTATATAACATCATACTACACTCTACTATACGAATGTGCTCTAAATACTCTGTTAAGCATAGCATGCAGTAGTTTGCCAATGTGCTCCCATCATGTAGCGCACGCGCTTTCTGTTAACACAGACCCTGGCACTGGCATGGCCCTAAACCCTAAACCCTTAAACCCTAAACCCTAAACCCTAAACCCTAAACCCTAAACCGCAGTCAACGGGTCCCAGCAGCGGAGCTTCCTGGTGACAGAGGGCCTCTGCTTACAGA